AATCAGAAACCTTGCATATATCATTAATATATAGTATAAATAATTTAGGTCCCAACACAGAACCCTGAGGCACTAACTTCTAATCCAATTCAAAACCAATCTTCTGATCCCATATTTTTCTAACTTATCCATTAATAACTCATGATTGATTGTGTCAAATGCTTTTTTTAGGTCAATAAATATTCCCATCGTGTATTTCCTCTCATCCATAGCACTTGTTATGTCTTCCATTAGGTCTGTAATGGCCAGAGATGTCGATCGGTTCAACCTAAAACCATATTGGCAATCCAAGAGGATTTTATGTCAATCATATGTGTCTAATCTGTTATTAAAGAGTTTTTCCAAGATTTTTGAAAACTCTGACAACAGAAAAACCAGTCTATAATTTGTGAAGTTGTGCTTATCCCCAGATTTATACAATGGAATAACCTTTGCTATTTTCATATTATTGGGGAACTGACCAAGTCGAAACGACATGTTAAAAACATGGGTTAATGGTTTGCATATCTTGTTCACAGAGCAAAGCATCTTTTATATTCAGTGCATCCCAGCAGCAGCCCTTCGATATCAGCACATTTGTTTGACAAGAGACACAAAAGGCGAGATCCAATAGGACGCCGAGCTTTGATCAGTGGGCAAAACGCTGCTCCGCTCAACGGGCCTGACCAGCAACAACAGTGATAAACTAACCTGTTCTGACGATGCGTATTCATCGCTGGAAAAAGAAGCAACAGGGGTTTGTGTGTGAGAACAGACTGCTGATGCTCAAGTAATGGTGATATTCTGACTCAAAGATTTTCACTGCATCAAAAAAGAAACTCTCTTTAATGTAGAAACAATAAATGATGAGGTCTGGTGATTGACAAACTCGTCTCAAACTTTTCTGATAATAAATGCAAGTAATTTTTAAGGGAGAAAAACAACATCCATTCTCAAATGTGAGGACACGGCTTTTCTTTGTCTCGTGTGATAGTTAAACATAATTTTTATGACTGTGTTATCTTGGAATTTTACACAACACAAAACAGCACACTGCAGGACAGAAGACAACAATGAAGACGACAGACATTTATAAAAGAGACAACAGGTTTTACATTTGGTTTGTGCATATGAAGATGTAGTAGATGAATAAATAGGGGAAGAAAAAATTTAAAAGATTAAAAGGAGTAGTGGGGTGGGGTGGGGTTAAATCAGCAAATAAATAATTTCCACCCTGAACCACAAGCATCAGAAAAAGAGACGCAGGTCGCCATGCTCACTCACCTGGGAAGATTCATCATAGTTGGGGTCCCGTGCATCAGGCTCTTCATCTTCATAAACCATCCCAGCAGCCCCCCAGACTCCTTTCCCCCCTGCCCCGCCTGCAGACCAAAAGGTTAGCTTATTAATAAAACTTGTGGACTGATTTAAAACGGGTCATTAAACACACGTTTTCAACCAAACTGTTGCCATTATCAACATACGGTGCATATGTACAAAACAGATACCAAGAGTTTCTCAGCGTTTCATGATCCGAGCCGTTTTCCTTCCCACTCTGGCAGTTGAAGCTGTAACCTAAAGGAAGCCTACGTCTTCAACGCTCCTCTGAATTACAAAACTAAAGTTTCTTTCGTGCCGTATAAAATGTGTTACTCTGCCTTTAAACCTGTGTCTGCAAACTGTACCTTTTTTTGGAAGGCCCCTGCCCTTGCCCGTTCTGGATTTGCGGTCATTGGTGTTGACTTTGCCCTTTGGGCTGTGTGGGTCACTTCCTGCCACCTCTCCCGACTCAGAAAGGGACTCACTGGCTGAGTTGCGGGATGAGGACTTGCGCAGGCGGCGCTTGGCTTTGGCTTTGAGCCGCGCCTCATGGAGCGCTTTTTCCTGGGGCGTCCAGTTCCCGTTCACCTCTGCCTCGTTCAGCACATCGTCGTCGTCACTGTAGGGATGGTTAGCCTCAGCCAGGTTGTCATCTAACAAGAGCGTCCCTGAGATCCAAGAGGTCAAACTGTTAATTTGCTGGTAACAACTTGGTTTGTGTTGTGCCACAATGAGACGGTAATAAAAGCTGTAAACTATCTTTATTAAGCACAAGTGACTTGAGACATTAAACTGGACATTTTATTGATACACTAAATGGCCCAAAATATGTGGACATTCTATTGCTCTCAATTTGTTCTTGTTTTGGACCAGGTTGCTAAATTCAAATTAAAGTTGGTGATAATGCTTCAACAAACAGTAATATTTAAGGCAACGGTTTGGCAAATCACCGCAGTCAGGTTCCAGATGTTCTGGAAAGCCGCCCTAGAAGAGCAAAGCCCGTTATATGTCCAACAGTACTAATGTAATAGTAACATTCCTAGGCTAATTCAGATGCATCAGAGAAGGATTTATCTTTGTTGTGCTTGAGAATTGATCTCAGAAGTAAATCTAAAACCTAAAACAAAATCTGATGAATATTGTGTGTTTAAAACCAATTATCTGCTCTTATGGGATATAAGAAAATGGGGTAAATTCCAATTCCCTTAAACGTATCCATGTTTCAGCTGTAGAAGACGTCGTCTCGGTCTGTAAAAGTGTCCGCTGTAAACCTGAGAGGCGGGGTACACCCTGGACAGGTCACCAGTCCATCACAAGGCTGACAACCACACACACACACCTAGGGTGCTGTGAGACCACAGTGCTAACCACTGCTCCACTGTGCCGCCCCAAGTAAGATGTGCAAAAAGAACATGGGAGTAAATTGGAACTGAGAAAATGTGCGTATTCAGACAAGAGACCTTTCTTTTGATCCTTCACCTTAAACATCCAATCACCTACTAGTTTCTGATAAAGGGATGTGATAGCTCATAAATGACTACTGCTCTCAATGCATCCTCACTCATGGCCCCCTCCAGGCAGCTTCGTCCCCACTTGATCCTCGCCCCCTCAGAACAGGAATAAGAGCACTGGGACATTCTTCAAAGATGGCAGACCAGAACAAGTTCCGGGTCAAGTGAGGACCAAGGATCCATCACCTAAAGGAACTAGGGTTCACCCATGGTAACGGTCAGCATATGGCTGCACACATACAAGAAACAAGGCTCAAGGATTTAGTATGGAACAAACAACTCAAGGCTGTAGGCAAGAGATATGGATGATGATAAACTTACTGAAGACTACTGATCATTTGGTGTGTATTAAGAAAACTGAAGGAACACCTCTACACTTAAGCAAGAACAGCAACTCAGAACAACAACAACAAAAAGGTTTCTGACTGTATGTGCTACAGCCACCTCTACATCACGGTCGTGTTTTATACATCCACCCAAAGGTCGCACACTTTAAATCCCAGTCTTCACAAGCAGATGTTAAGTCATTCAAGGTGTCAACTAACTTAACAAACATGTGGTTTTTTAGGACTGTAATCTCACATTGCTTCTTATAGGTGTGGGGAAAGAGACAACAGCAGCAAGTGGGATCTCCTCCATGTGGGCATGGGAGGAAGGAGGGAGCAAGGGGGAACACTTGCTGGAGAAAATGCTGACACCAGGTTTTTTTTATTCCTCTGTCTTCTCGCGACCTGACTACATATGGCATGGCTGGGTCCACGACTGATCACATGATGAGGCTGCAGGAGAGGGGGAAGAACATGAGGAGGAGGAGGAATGTCTGAGGGTGTAATGAATACTCAGATCCCTCACTGTCCGCCCAGGCCCAAATGGCAGCTTGAGGATTTATGCCCTATAGATTATAGGACACACAGAAAACAGAGGGAGGAGAGGGCACCACATCCAAGCCACAGAAAACACTGACAACCTATAAAGCAGAAGCAGTTCTTGTGTTGCAATAGCACCAAATGGTTGAGTGTAATCATCATATTATTGTTCAGTTCATTTCACTCAAGAATGTAAAAACCAAATTAAATGTAGCACCTTTGAATAAAAGCAGGACACCTCCTTGCATTATTTTACTAAGAGCAGCACCACACCCTTGGCCTTCTATATCTGTAAACAGCCAACCATGTGTCATCTCCTCCTCCTACTCCTCCTCCTTCCCCCCATGTAGGTCACAGGGCCTGCCAGGATTGTAAATTAGGAACTAACCAATGGCAGAGCGCCAAACTCACGATCGGCCAATTGGAAAAAAAAAAACAAAAAAAAAAACAGAAAAATGAGAGGGCAGGAAAAAGTCAGAGCTGTTTGCCAAGAGGAGAGTTGCAAAACAAGCGTAACAGAATGCAGCCAAGCTAACTTTTTCAACACTGCAGACCGTGCACCTCTGTTAGTTGTTGTTGCAAAATGTGCCACAGCCCAATAGCGCTACAGCAACCTCACTGTTTAATCTTGCACACCTACTAGAGTACACAAGTAAAACCAAATACCAAACCACTCAACACTGTCATGACGGGCTTCAAAACTACCCCCACAGTTGTCCAGTTTGAAACACACAACCACACGTAAGCCAGCAGAGAACCTCCGCTCTACATGGCGTGTGGGCGGCTGCCGCAGCCAGCGGGCCTAGGCAGCTGTGCTGAGGCGTTTCGGTATCAATACAGTAGCAGTGTTTGTGAATGAGAAGGCAGTCAGTGGAACGGTTTCCCTTCCAGGGAACAGACCATTTTCACAACCTTAAATGCAACTCAGTGGGGATTTTGTTTTCCTCTGTCAAAGGCAGAAGTCAAAAATGTGGTTTTCCTTCTTGTTAATTCACTCAGATGTTTCACTGTGCAGAACGATGTACACTCAGATGGTAGTTAAGTACACCTAGATAAAATCAGTACAACACTCCTGCAAGAACTCCTCTGTTCACAAGGGTGATGATGTTCACCTTCATGAAGGAAGCCTTACTGCAGCCCTGCTGTATTAGACTGCTGTAGTTTTTGCTAGGTAAGTCAATGGGTGTACCTAATCAACTACAACAACAGACACCAGGCAGCTATTTTGCACATTCATGTGCTGAAGGGTTGGGTCAGTTTCTTTGTGCTGAACACATGTACAAGCAACATTTGCGACATACAGCCATTCTGCCTCCAGCAGGTGAACTTCTAAAATGAACAATAGGTGCAATACTTTTTTTCCCCTTGTGGGTTTTTTTTTTTTTTTTATTGTTTTTATATTGCTGTGCACACCGGGGGCCATTGGGCTGTAGTCCAGTTCCTTGTATTTTTTTATAATACTTGGCAATAAAGTTTATGCTTATGCTAATAAATTCAGACTTTTTGAATGGGGGAGAATGAGCAGGTGTCATTTTAATAATTTGAAACAAGATAACTGAATATTTTGGTGAAAACACAACATAACAGGCACATATTATTAGTGATAGTAATTGTTTTTAAATATTTTAAACCATGTCTGAATGAGCTCTTTAAAGACAGTAACTGGTGGTTATGCAGGTAAGACTGCCTTGTTTTATTTGTCACTATATTATAGTAGTTGCTAAACTAAGGCTTCAGGTTTTATCCCTTTTGAATTGGTTTGGTCATTGCTTTGCTTGGGAGCAGGTATAGCTTAGGAGGTAGCGCGGGTCATCTGCTAACCACAGGATTGGCGGTTCGATTCCTGGCCTCTCTAGTCTACATGTCGAAGCGTCCTTGAGTAAGACAATGAAGCTTTTGTTGCTCACGGTCATATCACCAATGTGCAAGTGGTTGTGTGCACGAATGGGGAAACAGTGTAAAGCTCTTTGAGTGAGCTTCAGTGGATAGAAAAACACTATGTAAGGCCATTTTCAAAAGGCTCGGAAAACTCACAAACTGCTTTGATTTGGATTCAACTTTGAGCAAATGAGGAAAGTTTTATAAATCTCTCTGCACCTTATACAACAAATCCAAGACTGCCAACAACTTGTACACTGTTTAGCTTCTGATGACAAGCCCGTGTCAGTTGTTTATACTGTAGCCAAAAGGTGGAGGTGGATGAGCTTAACAAGTACAGACCAACAACTCCGAGCTTGCAAAGAGACAAGCTCAAGATGGTTGCACACAAGGACAAACAACGCATTTAGAGAAGTCTAATACTTTGTTGCTATCATTGTACACCCGTTCTTCTTCACTTTGCTCCTCTTCGAGTTCAATGGCCGTACATTACTTTGTGAAACTTAATAATGTGCCCTCTAAAATATCCACTAAAAGACAACCCAACCAAAGCACAGACAAGCAAACAGAAATGTGGCAATGTCACATAAATATCTGCACAATGACATAACGGCACTACTGCACATGGTCCTGTAGCGATTATCTACTAAAGAAGAAAAGGGTGTGGACAATCTACGGGTTTTAACTGTCACTTCATTTAATGAAAGGAGACTCAAACACAGCCTACACTTGGTGCATATGGTGATATATGATTATATATGCACACAATAAGGGGCCTGGGTTGCAATGTGTGAATAAAAATCTCTTGTTTTGTTAATATGGTGAGAGAAAAATGAATAACTTCTTGTACTGGAAACTTTTGCTGACTAGGCTTCCTGGGTTACCCTCTGTAACTGCTGCAGAGCAACAACACAGACTAAAGTGCATGAAAAAGATTAGAGCAACTCAGATAAATGAAGAATCTGATAACATTTGTTTTTATTAACCAGCAAGTCAGCTACACAGAGTCACTGTAAAGCTTTGCATGGGTGGATTGTTAAACTGAAGAGATCTGGCTCAACATTTTTTGGCAGTGGGTTTATCCCATGATGTTTTTACTGTGTGTATTTATCCAAGGAGGTGCGCAAATGCTCTCAGAGGTGGGGCTCTACACGTGCTTTAAATATGCATATAGGACACTTCTCACAGCACAGACTGTGTTGCTTCTAAAATCAGAAGTCAGAAGGCCATTAACATATAATAAGTCACCTCCCATTTTAGCTTTTTATGTCAAAATACCAGAAAATCCAGTCCAAGTTAAAAAAAAGAAAAGTTTTTTTAAGATTTATTCACCAATAGCAAAAATAGCATCAGTCTCATGGCCACTACTTGCACCAGCTGCTGAATGGTTGAATCGTGTGTTATGCATTTAGTTGATTTAATCAATGTCAAAGTTAATAAAGTAAAACAAAACTAAGAAACAAGTAACCAGTTCCCATGTACTGATGAAGGCCATGAGATGTGACGTAGAACTCTCCAAACAAGCCAGTGAGTGGGCCCTAGCTTAACTTATCAAACTACTATTCCTAAGATCAAGAGCGTTCACAATAACAGGATGTGGTGATTATTAAATTTCCAAATGCAGTGAGCTGCTTGGTTTTTGTAAATATTTCTTTAACACCAAATACCTTTTGGCTTTTGGTCAGACTGGATGTCAAGTTAGACTTTCCTTTGACACACTGACAAACTGTACCATATCATTTAAGTGTGAGTTTGGTGTCCAGAACTGGCCCACAACTTGTGTAGCCCCCCCTTTTATTCCAGCTCAGACAATAGTCTCTGACCACCTCATCAGGCGAGGCTGCTTCATCAAGCGTGGCTGACCTTTTTGAGGAAAAGGGCCAGGGAATTTGTGTCAGAAAAGCATCCGTACGCTGAAGCACAGCTATCACACACACACACACACACACACACACATACCATGTGGTGTCCCACATGCACTCACATTTATCACCATGTAATATCATGTGAATCAAACACAATTCCGTGCAACCCCAGTTTAATGCACCTGCTGGTCCCAGTGCTAACTATACATCTCTTATATAACTAAATACACAGCAAGGCACAGATTATGTAAGGCTCTCCTATTGGCTCAGTAGGCTATACGTGTCGACGTCACCGCCAAACACAGGAAGTCAGCCTGCAAAGACTTCAAATATTTATTTAAAAAAAACGCTGTACAGTGACTGAAACCATTATTTGCACACTATACGTGTTGACTGATTAGTGAGCGACATCGACAGGATGACGTAAGCATCGGTGCTTGTCGGGTGAATCGAAATGACATCCTGTTTTTGATTTTCTTGATGATGCAAAGGGCCGATTTATTCTGCTTAGCTTATAAAAATCCAATAACACAGAACAGTAAAGGGGCGATAAATACTCGCTGCAGTGGTTTAAATAACGGTTAAGATAACCAACGTGATAGAAAACGTGTTGACATACATATCCATATGCACATTCAAGGGGGTAAAAATACGAACTGAACAAATCAGGACCCACAGCAGCTTTCTTTCGAGCAGTTTCTAGCTACAGAAAAATGTCTTTGTGTATAAACAGGCGCTCAGCAGCTGATTCCGTCTGCGCGCACGACGACTTGTCAAGCGGAAGTAAGCGCTGTGGCCTCGTCCAATCAGAAACGTGAAAGGGTTAAATGTAAAAGCAGTTCAACTACAAACACCATATCAAACTTAAAAAAAAATCCAACGGAGTTCGGTTCTAGTTGCAGCATCGAACGTGCACAGCTGTCAGTGCGCGGTGGTTGTCGCACCAGCGCTCGGTGTGTACGTGTGCGTGCTTTTAACAGAGCACATGGTGGAGCATGCAGAGACAATGGCCCAGAGAGAGTGCGCCAGCAGGCCCAGCGCTAGCTCTCAGAGACTATGCACCGAAATAGACTACACCAAGCACGGCTGAATTCTTTCACTCACCGTCGGCTTGCGGAGCGGTGGACCGCGTATCCACTTCGGTCGCCATGGCGCTCTCCAAGTGTTCGATTTAAAAATCCTCGCGAAGTGCTCCTCCTACCGAGCTGCAACAAATCCCCCCCAAAAAACTGCAAGCCAGACGTCTGCAGAATGTTTGTGCTGTACCAGTCTTCTGACAAATGACACCTAACGCAGGGGGGAAGCTGAAGTCCTCCTGACTCTTTTTTGCTGCAGGGTCTCAGCTGGGAGAACAAAAATTATGAAAATTAACTGCAAATAGTTCAGAAATGTTGAGTTAAGGAGAAAATGCAAGAGTTTAGCACTCTTCTCAGCGTTCACGGCTAGGAAGAGCAAGACAACTAAAGAGTGGGGGAAGAAGAAAGCACAGGTTAACTAGTCACGGTGCATTTCGACAAAACAGCCTGCAAGATAAACAAAGTCTGTTTATAACTTCGCAAAGCGATACGAGCGTAGTCACGTGGAGAAAACGCGGATGAGGAGTGGTCAGTCAAAGGGGTGGGGCTAGCCCACTCTGACCAATCACAGAGTGGGAAGAAACGTTGGCAGAGTAGAATTTACATCACTGTGAAATGTCCCTCATAGTAAAACTTCATTACATTACTTTCATTACAAAAACTAGAAAATAGACACTAGTACAAGGTGTCTGAAATCTCTCTCTCTATATATCTATATATATCTATATCTATATCTATATATATATATATACACAGACACACACACACACACACACTTGTTTTTACAATATTTTAATGATTTTGTCATGAAGTACACTACCCGTCAGAAGTTTGGACACAATTTTTCATTGCATTGCGTGTGCCCCACTTCTTAACTGCCAGCATATTTTGATTATATTTTAATATTCTGACATATAATTTTTTGCTTGGGTTCATAAATATTTTAATAGTGAAGATATATCAGGTTTACAACAGATACAACATAGTCATTACTCAATTAGAAGTACACCTACTCTGTCTGTCCGAGGCTGTTGTGTGTGTATCCCTTACAGCATTACTCCCACCTGCTTGCTGCCTTTAGAGGAAGCACTGTATGAGATACTCTTCCCCCCGGAGTCCCCTGGAGCCCCACTGCATAGTCCCCCACCGCCCACGTCACCACCTCTCTGGTCTGCTTCGGCTTTCATCCAGGCTGTCAGTTCTCGGCAGCCACAGGTTCTCCTCCTGTAAAAAGAAGAGACCACACATATGTGAGTACAAATCACCTTTCTGCACTAATCCAGAATCAAATACTGTAGGACTAAGCTCACCAGGTTTTCTGCTCTTCACAGGGAAGGGGAAGGTGCAGTGGCCTCGGGGCGCCATCTAGTGTCAAGACCTGCTTCCTACCGTCGTTCATTCCTCAGTTCACTAAATATTCATTCCGTTTTCATCTCTTCAATAAACACTTTCAGCTTTTTTGCTGTCAATCATACGGGTCCAACACAACTACCTTCCCTGACACAAATACATTAAAACTAAAAGTTACAAGCCTGATTTTAAAATGTAAGAAGTAGAAAGTTACAGATATTTGTGTTAAAATGTAGGGAGTAGAGTGCAGGTATCTGAAAAATATGCTCAAGTGCAGTAATGAAGTATTTGTACTTTGTTACTTCCTGCCTTTGACAACCAAGTGCATCAACTGCAGTTTTATATGTGTCAGTTTATAACTTTAAACATAACATTTAATTACAATATTTTCCAGCACTGCAGCATTTTTATTTTAATGGGGATTGCAAAAAGCAGTCACTGCTGGACAATTATAATGCCTTTAAAGTTGATATTACAGCACTATTTTCTGGATACTATTGTCCCTTCTAGCTACTGGTTCTGCTTCTCATCTGCATCACAGTATCTTCAACATGATGGTTGCCCATAATAACATGTCAGGCTTGTAATAATCATGGCTGGATTCACTTACAGGAATCCATGGGGCAAAAATGAACTAATGCACCCTCTTATTCCTTCTACTCTACCCAATTTGTGCAGTTTTCATTTCTATCTGGCCCCAGGTTTTCATTGTGCTAATATATAAACATGTCTAATTTAAGAATATGCAACTTGTAACCTTACAGATTGTAGGCTGTATACAAATCAGACAAGAGACCAACACATGATGTGGTTCCTCTGCTGTTCTTCACCTCTGAAATGTCACAGTTTTTTGGAAATACAGACCACTGTGACATTGCTGTGTTATGAGGCAGTGCACCTAAATATAGTTCAGCGCTAGCAAAATGCACCTGATTTCTTTAATGCAAATTGTAAGCACAAGACTGAAATAATGAAGGTCTTTAAATTAGAATTTGACACAGGAACCTTCTGCAGGACAGCCCTCAAGATTAGATAAGCTGGATGTTAGTTGATTTTGTGCTTTAGTCAAGCTTATTCCCAAGCACCTTTTCAATAAAATTAACACTTTAAGTAGTTCAGGCTAATTCAGTCCAGTCTGGAGCTTTTGTGGTGGACCCAGAACAATTTCCCTCTTTTCCTGATTGGAAATCCAGACTTAAACCACTAGTCAAAAGTTTGGACATGTTTTCCAACTGAGTAGATTGGAAAACTGTGCAAACATTTGACTGGTAGTGTAGTAATAATATTTCTATTGGGGCAACAAATGATTAAATCCTTTTTGTAAGTGAGAAGAACAAGTGCAAATAGGTCTCATCGAGGCAAATGGCATTTGATACATTACAAGTATGTATGACTAAAAAGACTTAGTGTTGTCATACTGTGTGTTACGGTCGTCAATAAAGTGAACTAGACAGAATCCCAGATCTAAAACTATTCTTCTGATATAGCTATTTCTTCATCCTCCTGATGAAGCTTTTAGACTGACTGATGATTCGTCCTGAGTCACAGTGACAGCTTCTCATGAGTGGGTGATTTTAGCTCCTTCCCTGCCTAAATAAAAGTTGGACTTGTGCTGTTTTTACAAGCAGAATTGCTGCTTCCCCTGGCAACGACAACAGTAGATGTATGTGGTAGCACTTTTCCGCATTTATTTCGACACAAAATCCACAGTTTTTGTTGAATAAAGTGTCCAACGTGGTTGAATTGCAATGAGCACCAATGAAAAAACTTCAAATGGAAAAAAATAAAACCCCACATTCTGGAAAAGCACCAAGACATGTGGAACCAAACATGTATTTAAAATTGTGAGAGCATCTTATGGTTTGGATTTCACATTAGAGTATGCATCAGAAATCTCTATGCTATACACCAAGACACAAAATCAGCTTGTTAATCCTGATGACATAAAAATGTTTGGATATTGATACCAACAAATATCATGTTAACAAATACCAACAACACTCAACTTTGGCCTCATAATAAGCAACAGTGATTTAACACCACAACAACACGGCTGACAATAACTCTCTCACACATGCATACAACACAGTGAAGAGCTGCAGGTAGAATTGCACAAAGATACCCTCAATGAACACCACAATTTTAATAATAGTCATTTGAACTGTTCCACACACAGATACACATAGACACTGCTATAAATCCCGCTGCTATAACTCTCGTCGTAGCTGCAGGAGTCAAAGGAGAACGCGTTGTTTCCCGGGACACAAACAGTCTTGAGTTATCCTGAATCAACAGGGTTTGTTTTTTTCCTGGCAAACTAGTTCAGCCTTATCAACGTGGGCTTTTTTTTTATTCATCAATTCTGGTCATTACAAAATTAAGTCAGTACAAATATAGAGTAAATGCTATCTTCATAAGGAGAAGTAAACAGTCCATTGCAGTCAAAACCCAGCAAGGTAACAGTCTTATATCAGGCCTTGGCCTACAGTGGCGATCAAGGTAGAGTTTGGGCATTTTGTCTGTACATACTAGCTGCTGACAAGGCAAAAGGAATAAAACTAGTTCTATAAAGACTGAAATCAGATCAGTCTGGCTTTAGTGTGAAATCAGAGTTGGGATCAAATTAGCCCCATTTGTGTCTCGCATGCATTCCCATTATATCAAAGTCAGAGAGCTAAGCTTTTTTTTCTGTAAGATAAATACCAGATGATCTCTGAAAAACCCAGGAGGTTGTTTAACACCACTTTCAGAATCCTCAAAAACAATTCTCTCCATCTGGATAAAAATATATTTAGTGCCCTGCAAGATAAAAATTAATTATGACTATTTTCTGAAGTTGCAACTTTAACATTTTTTATTCTTAATTATATCCAGTGGCTTATGCAGAACAGGATTAGGGCCATTGTACAAAATTTGACTTCTGAATTTTTTTTCTCTCAGAATTTAAGAGAGATTTTAAGAGTTTACGGTCAGAATTTAGAGAAAATTTGTCAGAACTAAAATAAAATTTGTACAGTGGCCCTAATCCTCTTCCATCGGGTCTTACTGTTCAATACAGCTCAAGAAAAACAAAGGTTTCTGAGCTTCATGTCTACATAAATATGTTACAGTATTGTCAGAACACATATGTACTGCAAACTACCAGAGTACTTGATTCTGCTCTGTGTGGGGTTTTTTGGCACAATTTGTGGTCATTTGTACACAACAATATTTTTAGGTTTTTGTGGAGTCATTTCATGCACTGATATTCTTAATTCATCAGAAAACAAAACACAGTTATTGCATGTGCAACCCTAGATACACGAGATGTAACATAAGACTCAGGGCCAAACTTCATTAGTTGGTATAAAAATATATAAAAACACTGGTATAAAAATATAACATAACATCATACAAATGGAACGTGGATGTATATTACTTCCAGCTATCATCTTTGTGTGGAATTGGAAATAGAGCTGAAACTTGGGAAAGTGATTATAAATCTTTTAAACAATGTAGTGCGAGGATATTTATTTGTTTTTATCCAAGTGGACAGAAGAGACTGAGGAATCTGGAACTATGTTCAGAACAACAAGCTTCCAGGTTTTTTAAAGATTGTCATACAATGGTAACAGACAAGAGGCTCAACCTGGAGCTAAGGTAAAATCAGATCATCTGAGTTTGCACTTGGGAGAAACCTTAAGCCACAGCCATTAAAAATACTGTGTTATGTACAATCAAGGGTCTCTGCCCAGCACAGCTCACAGATCACTAAAGAAGAGGTAAATGTCTTTGTCAATACTATTGCTAAATACTATTTTTGCAAATTTTACACATACACCTATTGGGTATATTCTATAAAGAGGCTGCTAAGCACTGCTAGAAAAAGGTTGCCTATTTGATGTACAACTATACACAAGTTACAGAAAACACACACACTCACATAGCAGCATTAAACTACACAATGCCTAACAGAAGGTCTATTTTCATCAGGCACCATATACTTAGATAAAGAACACAGATCAGCTAAAACTAATGAAAATGAAAATGGTGACTACCCATTCCTTAAAATAAAACTCCAAGCCAAAAGGCTTTTATGTTGATATGTCAAGAGAATTAACAGTCACCTCTGAGACACACCTGTGAGTCACTGCACAAAAA